TCAACATATACCAGATATCATGACCCAAGAGGGGCTATTGAATATAATAAACTAACACAGATTCGCAAACAATAGTTACCACCATCTCGGTCAAAGATGACATTCTATCAGCAGAAATTTATTCGTAACAAATATAATAAACAAAAAAATGGGAATGTTTATTCACGAGTAGAGACTCTACAAGTGTAACTCGAAACAACGGATTGATTATGTGGTTAAATGTATGCCCCCTCCGCTCCACACATTCACTGTTCTCCACGAAAGGCAAATAAAGGAAGCATGAAGAAAGGTCATCACCAAAGACAGTACAAAACAAGAAGGGCAAAACAAAAGTAGAAAAAGGCACCGTCACACAAACCGACCATTGAAAGGAACTTTAACAGCATTTGTAACAACACAAACAATTTTCTCATGTGTCACTAAAGTTTCCAAAAACAAAAAAAAAAAGAAGGAAAAAAACAGCATGCGGTTTGCAATCAAGGCAAAATCACATGTACATGATCACAAATGACAAATCTATATCGAAAAATGACGCGAATAGTACGGACTTTCTAGAACAGAGAAATATACTTTGAATGGCAATATCCCAAATCAAACGTACTGAGCATACAAAAATACTATGCCTGCCAATACCGCTGATCAAAGGCAAAAACAGAGGGGCTGGAAAACAGAAACACGGGAATAAAAGTCGAATGAAAACACTAAATAATAAGCAAGAACAATGAAGAAAAATATACCCCTGTTTGGTTGTCTCAGAAACTGAAAATGAAAATACAACCAAGCAATTTCAAAAGTAAAAACACCATGTTTACACACAACAACAAAGAATTGATCGCCACAATTCCAGATTTCCTTATAACTTTCTCTCGAATTTTAACCAAAATTTTGAAGCAAACTGCAAAGGACCCCATATTTGATCATCTCAATTCTCACCTACAGAGAGCCAATTTCTCTTCAAGCCACTAAAACAAAATGCAAGATCAGATTTTTATCATCTTAAGGAGCAAATCTTATTATATCTTTCTATAACCCAAATTCTTTAAACCATTTTACATTCTCAGGAAAAAAAAAAAAAA